GATTTTATACCTCATTCTCATATCTGGGTACGCTTCGTTGTTTCTTGTCCACTGCGGGTCAGTGTAGTTTGGCTGACTCATCGGTATTATCGGTATCATCGGTATCATCGGTATCATCGGTATGATAGAGAGAGACTGATATCGCGTATGATCGGTATGTTCGGTATCATCGGTGTTGTCGGTATCATCGTGTATCGAGCATCTATCATCGGTATCATCGGTATTATCGGTATCATCGGTATCATCGGTATCATCGGTATTATCGGTATCATCGGTATTATCGGTATCATCGGTATTATCGGTATCATCGGTATTATCGGTATTATCGGTATCATCGGTATTATCGGTATCATCGGTATCATCGGTATCATCGGTATCATCGGTATTATCGGTATTATCGGTATTATCGGTATTATCGGTATCATCGGTATTATCGGTATCATCGGTATCATCGGTATCATCGGTATCATCGGTATCATCGGTATCATCGGTATTATCGGTATCATCGGTATTATCGGTATCATCGGTATCATCGGTATCATCGGTATTATCGGTATTATCGGTATTATCGGTATCATCGGTATTATCGGTATCATCGGTATTATCGGTATCATCGGTATTATCGGTATCATCGGTATTATCGGTATCATCGGTATTATCGGTATTATCGGTATCATCGGTATCATCGGTATCATCGGTATCATCGGTATCATCGGTATCATCGGTATCATCGGTACTGTAATGAGGGGGGCCGTGGCCGGATACAAAGTACCACCACCACCACCCCGAGGTTGTGGAGGTAATCGATATTACATTTTTCCGATGACGACGACGGGGTAGCAGGCAAGAGGTAGAGGAGGGTTCAGGGGGACCGGGAGCTGGTAACAGTCAAGTGTGGGATGGCGGGGTAGGAAGCGGTGGGGGGAGGTGCATGGGAAGACTTTCCTCGTGATGCGTGTGCTGCCTTGCTTTGCTTTGCTTTGCTTTGCAGCGCATGTCGGTTTCTGTGGTGCGGGAGCGTGCGCGCGTGTAACTGCACCATAACCGCTGCGTGTTGGGAGCGTTGTGATGGGGATGATCATGCCAGTTAGGATTGAATGCCCACTTGTTGCTGCGCGCGTTGGTGCTACACACGCTGTGTGTATGTATGATGTGTGAAACAGGGGGGTGTATCTTCGCCCGTGGCAGCTACCCTGCGAAACCCTGCCTTCCCCGGTATTTCGGGGCACCTTCATCCAGTCACCCTTGTCAACTTCTCAGTGGATCGCTCAGGTTCCGCACCCACCACCAGCATCCAACGGATTCTGCCGGGTCGACAGCGGCCAAACTCCGTTCCTGGTCGGCTCGCGGGTTAACTTTATCCCAGGTCACCACCGTCCATCAACTTGGGGCGCAATACCTTCCACCATCGGAAGGACTTTTGACCCTAACGGGTATCGATCCCGGGATCTCCCGGGGGCAATGGTCGCGCCTTACCAGTGGTGCCACATGTATGTACGTATGTATGTATGTATGGTGTGTATAGGCGAGGGAGTTCCACATTCCACCATTGCGCCTTCTTGGGTAGCATCATTACATTACGGAAAAAATCATTCCCGCCAATCCAAATGCACGCACCCCATGCTCTAGAAAGGGTGGATACGAAAGATAAATGGTATATTATGTGAGACTTTGTTCTGCGAGAAAAAGATGGAAGACACTTTTAACAGTGATGCTGATCGCGTAATGATATCAATGATGGTGAATGAGGCTAAAGATGATCTGATACTAGAAGGACGTCATTTGTCGTTTGCCGTAGTGTACCTCAGTGTACGGCATTTGAGCCTGATGACGCCTTGACTTTTGTTACCACTGCCCATTGGGATTTTTGGCCAGTGTGATGGTTCTTGTACTCGCGTATTGTGTCTTTACATTGGCCGTTGGTTGGTTCTTGTATTGGCCATCGGTTGCTCGTTCGCTCGCCCGTGAACTGGCCAGATGTGCGCGCGTGAGTCAGCCCGGCGCAGGCCCCCGTTTCGGCTCCAAAGCTGTCCACGTCCTGAGAGACAGGAGGCGAGAGGATTCGCGTCTCACGCGCCTATGACAGGCAGGACGTGTGTTGTGTGTGTGTGTGTGTGTGTGTTGTATGTGTGTGTCTGTGTGTGTGTGCTTGAGGGCATATAGAGGTCGGGTGAGTCAGTCAGGAACATGCGGCGGTTGCTGCCAGTGTTACGGCCACGCAGTAGATGGACTGCCCGCGGCAGTTGGTCCGCAGCAGCCGCCGTCCACGCGGATTGCCAGGGACTCCTCCTCCTCCGGTGCCAACAACTCCCGTGCCCGGGGCTCGTTATCGCCGCTGTGAACTCGCCGCAGAGCAGCCTCCGACAGCCTCCGACAGCCTCTCCTGCACCGGACGAGAACAAGGACCCAAACGAGCATACACAAGCATTCTTTCAGGCGGTAGGAACCAGATGGGTATCCCCTTAACAATCAAGCGAGAGACTCATACCGGGCGGGGTGTACGTGGGATGCCGGTTGCCATGAATGAAGTCCAATAACTAAAAGCACTTTCCACACCTGGCGAAGGTGAATGGTTGCCTGGTAGAACTACAACGCAAGAAGCTTTTTTTGTTGTTCATGCGGGCCTCCTGAGCCTTTGCCATCCCTTGACGAACTGCTGCATGGCTGCCTGTGCCATGGCACCCGCTTTTCCACTCAGTACCGAGAGCATGTCGCGGCAGGAGGCCCGCCCTTTTGCTGCTTGCAGCTGCGCTGTCCGTTGACAAGGACGGTTCTGTGCCACCATCCACATCATCATCATCCCCAGTAGCGCCACCGGTTGCGCCGGCCAGCTCCATGCTACGCGGCTATTGGTTCTCCGCGGCCTTTGCTTCATGGGGTAGCACAGCGCAGTTCTTTAGGTGAAGGCCCAACTCGTGCAGTTTTGCTTTTCTTGTGGGAATCACTATGCCGCAAGCCATGCACTTTTTTGTGTGTAGCGTTTCGCGGTCGTGCACTATGGCCTTCTTCTTCGAAATAATTGTTGGTTACACTTGGCTTGGGACCATGTTTCGCCCTTCATCGTTCTGTTGAACACAGACTGCCTACTGTGACTATCAATAATGTAAGAAGCTACTTCAAGGTTGCCAAGGGCTCCGTAACACGCACACAATTGCCTCGCAGGAATCGCACAGAGGAGATCTTGCAGTTTTAAGACTGTTTAAAAACAAAACCGATGAAACAACATGACGTCAACTTTACGCCAAGATACTGCCCGTTATAAAGCGGTTATTATTTGCTAGCGTATTTTGGCGTAACGAGGTGTAATTGTACTCGGCGTATTCTTCTGAAATACGGTCGCCATACTGTCAAGCGCCAAACTTACCTCTTTGCGTTCATTAGCTCGACTCATCCGTACATGCATGAAGGGTTGTTCAGAAGTTACCATAGAAGATACCGTATTACCTGTTGCGTGTATAGTTACCGTACGGGTTCAGCCCGCCGCGCACCGCACGTCATTTGCCAATTACAGAGCTATGGATGTTACGTAAATGCCAATCGTCGTCACAGATTCAATTTTAAGCCATGTCAACGGCCGCAATGGGCCATGACACAGCCGTGACGCATACCACGGCATTTTGATGGCGATGACGATGACGATGGCACAGCAGCATTCATGGTTGACGCTGTCCTGGGTTTGGAGTAGCGGAGGTGTGTGTGGAGAGGGGGCAAAAAATCATTTCTACACGTCTTTCATCGTGTATCACTCGGGTTACTCATGAGCATTTTGGTTCGTCAGGCCTTTGGGCCGTACAGGCTTATGACGAATTGCCACAAGATGAAAGGTGAGGCCGAAACTTGCAATCATAATGTTCTAGGACGGCTTTGGGTTGCATAAACATGGTTAGTTGCATGTGACTCAAGCGCGGAGACTGTGCGGTATGTCAAGCTGTTTTGCAACGGCCCATATCCACGAGATCGTGTATTATTCGCTTGAAAACGGTTGCCCAGCTTGCCTTGTTTTGTTTATGAGGCCCTCCTTAGACATACATATCGGGCTTATCAGGCGCAGCACATCAGATTTGGCAGAGCAGCTGCAGCAGCCAACTTGTGACGAGATATACGGCAATGCTGTAGCTGATTTCAGGTCTGATCAGACGGCAGAGTCTGTATTTTCAGATAAGTGTATCCTATGCCTTGCCAGTCTGGAGTGAAGACAGAGGTTATGAACTTAAGCTAATGGTACGGCGAAACCAAACGCGTAAAATATCAAGAATGTGGCGAACACTTTTCCTTCGTAATCACATCTATTGTTTGAACTTCCATTCAGTTCAGCTTGCGCCAAGCGAAGCTTCATGAAACGTTATACTTCAGATAAAAGCTATGCCGCAGCGGTTCAATCCGCCCTTTGAGTGAGTAATGGGATCGGTGCCTGATTTGGGTTTAGTAACCGTCCAATGTGCTCAGTTGTAATGCTGACAGCGAACAAGGTGAAGTAGTATGGTGGGTGAGGCAGAGATATGGGCCTTTCGTCCGCTTTTGGGACAAGGACTTCCGCGACGTACGTGCCACACCGGGTCTAGCATAAGGTAAGTCATTATTATTAAATGCATCGTGCGTGCCTGCCGCCCGCTGCTTGCTCAGCTCTTGTCTCCGCCATGGGTGTTCGGAAAGTATGCATGCAATTGTGAATGTCGCACGACTTTGGATAGCTTTCATGAAATCTAAGGGCTGTTCATGAACCCGGAGTCTCTCATAGCACGGCAGGGCCACATCACAGAGCTTGATTGTTCGTTACTGCTCCGTAGGCATGAAGCTGCTAGGGTTCTTCTGCTGCCTGGCGCCTTTTACGACAACTGCTAGTAGCGACAACAAGGATTGCGCGACCGCTGCGCGGGAAGGAGCGAATGGGTCAACGCCGGCAACGGCATGCTCAACTGCGGCTCATCGTCAGTCTACAGGATCTGATGCGCCTTTGACACCTGAACAGAGCCGGCAGGCTTCGCAACCCTGCGCGGATGGATGTAAGCTGGCATGCTTGGAACAACCGGAGCAAAACCCATACCATCCAGCTGGATTGGCACCACGCTTGCGTACATGTGCGCCAGCAGGCTCGCTGCTGAACGAGCACCCGTTCAAGAAGACCTCCCAAGACCGCCTCAGCGTTGCCAGGCAGGGCCTAGAGCAGCTCGTGATGGACCTTCGGTACGTTGTGAGAACCATCGACCATGGCCACGAGGCGCGCACATGTTGAACGCGAACATGTTGACGGGAATGAAGTTTTGGGAAGTGGACGCTGCAGAAGGAGGAGGAAAAAAGCCTTTGCAGAAGCTGTTGTGAACTGGCCCCCAAAACCAGACAGCAAGTGTTTCATAAGCCCGCATCCCATACGGGCTTAAAAAGAAGTCTTGAATCCTCAGCGCAGCGCCTCCACAGCCTCACCACCACAGCCGTAACCCTCCAAGGTCCTTCGAAACGTGAATACCCAGATGCCAGATACATACATACATACGCACATACGGCTCTCGCAGCCCACAGCGTAATCTAAGTCATACATATATATACATACATATATACATACGTACGTACATACATATACATATACACATACATCTGCTTCAGAACGGTTGCCGAGTGCTGCTACGGCTGCGGCTGCTGTGATGGCGACCAGTTTCAAACGTCAACGGAACCAAGCAATCTTGGCTGATGATTCTTTGCTTGGTCAATGCTTCGCCACATCAGCAACGAGCCAACTAACTGACAACAATCGTACAACACAACACAGGACATGAACCTTCTCTGCGACATTCACACACGACCCACGCATTTATCCCCCCTACCACAGACACCGCGAGCACGCACCCCCCTCGCATACGTAAACGAACTGCCCAGGCAACCCAAACCAGTTCCAACACCATCCGGGTAGCGATGCCGGTTACCCAGATTTGCCTTACCTTGCTCTTCCCTCTCCTCGCCTCTCCTCCCATCCCCTCTCCTCCCCTGTCGTGAACCCCCTCATAATGAAACCCAGATTCCCCCCAGAGGAGAACATCAGGCTGTCCTCGTTCCCCGGGCCCACCGGCAGTTTCGATGCTGCTACTGCTGCTAGCGCTGTTAGTGCTACTGCCGGTCCAACCCAAACAGCCCACGCGGCCTCTGCGGCGGCGACGCCGGCTGCCAGCGCATGTCGGAAGGGCCCTATGGACCGCCCTGGGGCGGCATCTCGGCAGGGCGCATCAGTCGTCGCAGCAGTGCAGCCCTTTGGCTCCTCCACCGCCGCCGCCGCCGCGGCCGCCTTCGTGCAACAGCAGGAACCGCCGCCGCCGCAGCAGCAGCGGTCGTTATTGCAGTCGCCCCGTCCATGCCGTACTCCTAGCCGCAACACAGATGACAGGACAGCGGCAAACACGGTGCCTAGGCCTGCATCTCTGGCAAGCGCTGCGGACGTCAACTCCCGTGGCGGCGGTGGCGGTGGCGGCTGTACAACAGCTGCCGACGGCGTCAGCACCACCGACGGCGGCGGTGGTGGCAGTGGTGCGGATGGTGCAAGCAAGCGAAACGGGATTGGTTCTGCCGGCGGCGGTGGTAGGAGCAGCGGGCAGGGGGTGTCGGACGCCAGTGGTGACGTGCCGTCGCCGGCTGCTGCTTGGATGCTGCTGCGGTCTCTGCGGCCGGGAGCCAAGCAGCCCCGCGGCGGCGGCGGCGCCTTGGCAACGCCGGGAGCCGCGGCGGGGGCTCACAGCAGCAGCACAGTAACATCGTCGTCAATCTCACTCACCCGGGCGCCGACGCTGGCATCGTCTCCTGCCAGGGGGCACGGCATGACCCATGGGTCGGTGACCCAGATCGTCGGAGCAGACGGAGGCGGCGATGGGGATCACGACAACGGGCCAGGGGCCAGTGCATCCGTGGCGGCGACAACTCCTGGCCCTGCCCCGCTGCGCACATCTCCTCTTGCCCCCGTCACCAGCCTGGACTTTGGTGCTGCAGACGCGTGCAGAACTCCACGTCAGACTCGGCGGGTTTGGAGGAAAGGCGAGGTTGCTGCCGCCGCCACCACCGCTGGGGCTACTGGTAATGGTGGCGCTGGTGCCGGTGCTGGTGGGGCCTCCACGGCGGCGGCCCCGACCGGTGGGAACATCTTGATCACTGGCCTCAAAAATGCTGACTGTGGCAGCAGCGGCAGCAGGAGCATCGGCGATGGTACTTGCAGCGTGAGCTTTGGAGGACTGGCCGGCCCCATTTGGGGCTTGGGAACGGCTGCGGGGGCCGAAGGGGAGGAGGACGAGGAGGAGGAGGAAGATGGCGTCTTTGATGACTGTGCAGGTGGCGTAACTTCACTTAGTCAGCAAACGGGCGGTGAAGAGGAAACCGGCGACCCTGCCGTCGCCCAGGATTTGGCAGGGCTCCTTGGAACAGGTACCGAGTCTGCGGCCTCTGCGCTGCGCCGAAGTGCCTCGGTGCCGATGTTTGCCATGGAGCGGCCAGGGGAGCTCGAGGGAATGGGGCTTGCTGCCGGAAACACCGGCGGCGGTGGTGCCGTACGAACTCGCTTCACCAACCGACCCATCTCCTTTCTGTCGAAGCGTTCTCCAGGCAAATCTCAGTTATCAACGACGGGATGGCACACGCCACGGGCGCGCCTGCCGGTGCTCCGTCGCTGCAGTACAGCTGCTCCCGGCGGTGGCGGCGGCGGCGCTGACGCTGGCGGCGGTGATGGCGCTACAGCCGTTTGCACCCGGCGGCCCCATCTTCGCACTGTGAACGCTGGCGCTGGTTGGGGGTCCAGGCACCTTAGCGGCAGTAGCAGCCGCAGCGGACACGTGCTGCTGCCGAGCGGTACGGCAGCTGGCGGTGGCGGCAGTGGGGGCATGGTCTGTGGCGTCTTGTTGTTGAGCGGCGGTGGCGCTGGGGGCGGTGTAGAGGGCTCAGAGCAGAAGGACAGCTGCAGCGGCAGCAAAATCCTATGGCCACCAGGGCTACAGCCGCTGCCGCCGCCGCCGCCTCTGCTGGCGAGGGTGCTGAACCTGGGGAGGGGCGTGGCGGGAGGTACGGCCGCGGTGGCGGCGGCGGCAGCGATGGTGCCGCCGGACCCGGTGCCGTACAATAGCAAGCCGGCGGCGACTCTGCAGGAGGCGACGGCGACGATGCCAACGGGGCCCCCTCACGGTTTCGTGGCTGCGTCCGGGGGTCAGCGGCACCCGCCTTACGCGTCCAAGCACATGTCCCAGGTCGGCAGGTGGTGAGGGTGAATGGAGGGTGAATGGAGAGGGAGCCCCCTCACCTCAGGGACCTTTCTGATGGATGGGCTTGACCTGGTGGCCCCGCTGCCTCGGCTAGGACCGGCCGTGGATAATTAATTGTGTTGCAACTCTTCAAAAAGTTTTATTTTCCCCGCGGCGCAGCACAGTGCTGCGCGCCAAGCCTTCCCCTGCCGGTGCCGGTGCCCTGTGGCGGGTCCCACTACGACTGGCGCCTGCATTTGACTTCACATTTGGGACAAAGACAGAGAATAACTTTCCTGTAGAATATTTCCTGTTGGCAGAGTCAAAAACTTGCGGACGCCCCGTGTGTGGGCCCCCGCACCTCGGGCTCCCCTCTCCGCTCCCCTCTCCGCTTTCCGCGCTGCAGTTCAATCTTCCTTCTTCCTTTTCGCTTTCTTTCGTTCTTCCTGACTTGCCTACTCGCTTTCTTAGAACCAGTCTAGGCTAGAAAAATGCAAGCGAATCGCGCTGCATAATAACTTTGGGTTTAACTGGTGTAAACAGGCACATATAGGGTAGCAGGACCTGGAACTAGCCTGCGCAAAAACCTTGGCTTAAGTGAACAGAAGACTGAGAGTTCCACTCGACTTGGCGACAATAACGGAACTGTGATCGCACCTGTGGCCGCACCCGCCCCCGATTCTGGTTGGGATTCTGGTTTTAAGGCAACCCTCGTATGGCGGTTCTGCCCGATGGCGATGGCTGTCGTTGCTCCCCCCCCCTTCTCTCTCTCCCCCGACGTGTCGCAGATGGCGCTGTTGCCCTTCCTGCAGCAGCAGCAGCAGCAGTCCAGCAGCACCTTGCTGCCGGTGGCGCTGTCAGCTCCCGGGTCCTTCAACCTCGCCGCGCTTTCCCGGGAGATCACCGGGCTGCGGTGGATCGGTCAAGGGGGGGGAGGGGCGGTGTTTCAGGTGAGTGATGGGTGTGTGTGTGTGTGATGGGAGCGTGTGTCTGCGTGTGTATGATATAGCGGGAATGGGTGCGGGTGTGGATGTGGGTATGTGCTGTTGCTGCTGCTGCTGCTGTTGTTGTTACCGTTGCTGTTGGTGTCGTGTGCCTGTAATTGTGGATATTCCGCCTCGCCCACTACAGCGTGCCTTCACCCAATCCTTCCCGTCCTGAGAGATCTGCCCAACCCCGGCACCCTCCGCCTCCTTTGCTCCTTGCATGTACATTAAAATCCCCCATCCCCAGGGCATGTGGCAGGGTGTGTCAGTGGCGGTGAAGTTTCTGCTCACGGAGGCTGACGGGCTGGTGGACGCCGCCGCGCTGGAGGGCGTCGTGAGCTCCGTGGTGAGGGTCCGGGTCCGGGTCGGGGGGGGGGGGGCGAAGGATACTGGCGAAGGGAAACAAACAAACAAACAGAAGACAAGGTCGAAACCTGCAAACTGCTGGTGGGGTGCAAGGGGGGACAGGCACGGGGATCCCGATGTGACCCGAACTTGACTGCCCGAGCTCGGGCTGTCGACCTGCAGGTATTGGGTCTAGGGGCTCCTACTGTTGATATTGTTGATACTTCTGCTCTTTGCGGGTGCAGTAATGCACGGCCCGCTGGCCCGCTGGCTCTACTCTTCGTGAGTCCGGAGCCCACTGCAACAACCACACACACATACAAGTGTGTTGATGCAGCGGAGGCAGATGAGGGGGATGGGAGGCGCTGTGTCGTGTTAGAGCGGTGTGCACTGCACTGTACAGCATTGGGACCCTTTCCCTCCCTTTCCTGGTTTGTCGTTCCCCCCCTTTTCCCCCCCCCCCATCCATACACCCCATCACCACCGCCACCACCAGCACCACCACACAGCTCCGTAAATCATGTTGTGTGGTTCAGGTCCACCACCCCAACGTGCTCCACACGTATGCCTTCGAGTGCTGCCGACTGACGGAGGCTTCCTTCAACGACAACGAGCTGCTGACGAACGGGGGAGGGAGCGCGGAGGAAGGCGGAACGGTAGGCGGGAGGAGCGTGTGTGTATGTATGTATGTATGTATGTATGTATGTATGTATGTATGTATGTATGTATGTATGTATGTATGTATGTATGTATGATGGATGCATGGATGCATGGATGTGCATGTGTGCGTGGGGGATGGGGTCCTGATCTGAGCGGGAGGGTTGGGGGAAGGGTTTGGGGGTGGGCGCACCGGGGCCAGTGGTGGAAAGCTGAACACTAACAGATCTCAGGGGGAGATTTCGGGACGTTTGCCGCGGCCAATCAAATCTGGGTGAGGGTGACGGCGTGAGCAGGTAATCTGTATGTATGTGAACCAGGAAGGAACTGAGCCGCGGTTTGCGTGGGTGCGTGCAAGTGTGGTGGGGGGACAGCGAGGACGGGACGGCGAGGTAGGACCATGGAGGAGGGGGGAAGCGGGAGGGAGAGCGGCCGGTACGTCTTACTGCACATCATGGGCTCCCCCAGCCTGTACTCCGACTCCCCATCGGCCTGTCCGCCGTCCTCTGGCACTGGCTTGTGTACGGCCTCTTTTCTTGCCTTTACGCTCCATGAGGCCCAACAGAGACGTTTTCTGTTGGCGTTTTTCCTAGGAGCTGCCAGCGCAAGTAATCACTCCCTGTCGCCGTTACTGCGTTGGCGGTTGACCGTTAACGTTGACCGTTGGTCTGCAGGAGCTTCTGGAGTCCCTCATGGAATCATGCACGACATTTTCGGACAGCAACAATCACGTCCGCCGTGCCAGAGCGCTGCACATAGCCGCCAGCGGCGGTAATTTCGGCGCGTTCGCCCTTGCCAGTTGCCCTGGTGGCGGCAGCGGTGGGGTGTGCGCAGCAGTACAGCGCCTGTCGCGGCTGGGCGTGCCGAGCCTGGGTGAGCTTGGGCCGCTCACGTCAGCGCAGCTGGCACCGCCCTGCAGCACTGATGGCGGCGGCGGGGAGGTCGTTACACCTGGCGGCGCTGGTCGCAGCTGGGGGGCCCCTCTCCTCGCCTCCTGCCGAGCACGTTCCATACCGCCGGGGTCGTCGAGGACCTTGGGCACTGCCGCCGCCGCCGCCGCCGCCACCGCCACCGCCGTCACCCCGGTCGCCGCTTCTCCTGACACGTCCGCGGGTGCCGCCGCCGCCGGAACCGCCGCAGGGGTCGCCGTCGAGACCGCTGCGGACGCCGCCGTCGGCCCCCCCACCGCCAGAGGCGGTGGCGGCCTGCCGCGTGCGCTGAGGAGCTGGTTCGTGGACATTTGGGGTCAGCAGTCACCCCCCGTCATCCAACCGTCACCGCCGCTGTTGCGCCATCCGCAGCCGCCCAGCAGCCCTTCTCGCAGCGCTTCGTTGATGGCGATGCTTCGCGCTCGCTCCCAGGTGCGCCAAGGGCATCCTCCTTCCCCTTCTGCTTCCGGTCCCGCCGTCGCCCTTGCCGTCGCGACCGGCACTGACGAGTCTGATGCAGACGTGGTCATTGCCCGCAGCGGCGGGGATGGCTGTTTTCGGCCTGCGTCTGCAGCGGCAGCTCTCGGCCGTGGCCGCGGCAGCGGCAGCGGCAGCGCGGCAGTGACTGTTACAGCGGCGGCGGCGGCGGCGGGGTCCGCACACGCTGCAGCAGTTGATTCGACCAGCTATGGGCCTGTCATTGGAAGTCTGTTTAGTGGTGCCTCGACGGCAGCTGGGTGGAACTGCCACGCGAAGCTCAATTCGACGTTCCACTCGGACGACGGGTGCGTTGTTGACGTTGTTGACCCATGGGTCACATCGCCTGTTTTGGGTGATGGTGTGGGTACGTTTTGCAGACACACAAGGGTCAGGCAGCCAACGGGTGATGTCCATGCACGTTAGGACACACGTTACGGGTCTTGTGCTATGGCCCATGTGTCGCACAAGGGGACGTTGTAATGGCCTGTGTTACTTATCCCCCCCCGCCTGGTTTGCACACAAAACGCGCGCCGCGGGATTTCTGGACTCATGGAGTTTCTGTACGGCTTGTACGGCATGCATGTCGGAAAAAGCTTGGCGGCAGGTTGTTGTTAGGCAGTGTGCGATGGCAATGTGGCCAGAGGGGTGACCTCCCATTTTTTCATCGTAGAGTATCAAATGTATATCTACATTGTATACCTCCTATGTCGCCAGCCGCCCTCCTCTACAACCTTAACCGCCCCACCACGCTCTCCCCTCGTGCGTATCACGTCTGTCCTCGTGACTCTCTCGTGCGTTCCGTCTTTGTGTTCATCACGTCATATGCATGTGTTCTCGTCGGCCTTATGTCGCCTTCACGGATTGGTGGCGTCCCCCGCAGGTTTGGAGACCCCGAGGCCGGTATGGGGACGCAGTGCTGGACTGTACGGCAGGTTTTGTCGTACCTAAAGGCCCGGCCGGGGATGTACTTGACGTACATTATCATGGTATGCACGCGCAGAGTTAGCGATTGACTGCTTTTTAAGTGCTCTGGCGGATTTTGGCTTGGGTGCGGGCGATACAGGGAAGGGGGCAGGGGGAAGGGCTCCAGGTCGATCTGCGGCGGAAAGAGCCTGGGCGGTCTTTGGCCCCTTACCTTACCTCTTTTCATGTGGAGGGAAATGGAGGGGGGACCTAAATCGTGTGAACAGCCAAGATGGATTCGGAGTGGATGGGAGAAACTTGGTCGCGGGGAAGCCTTTTGGTGCGAGTGACGGGTGTGTGTGGGCGGGTGAGATTTCACCAGTGGAGACGCGGACGGTCCCGGTCGCGCCTGTGAGGGTGTTAAGAGGCTGCGGCTATGCAGCTCAAACCCATGAATCTGCCACACGTAGCTTGCTGCGATTCGACGTGAAAATCGTACAGGCATTTGCTCCCGCCTTACTGACCGTGTCGTACCTACGCCGTACAGGAGTACTGCGACCGCGGCTCGCTCCTCTCGGCCATCAAACGCGGCGTCTTTCAAACCGACAGCATGTGGCCGCACGACAAGGACAAGGACAAGGACGGTCTCGGCGGAGGCGCTGGCGGCGGCGGCGGCAGTACGGGGACGGGGACTGGCGGCGGAGGCGGAGGCGGTGGCGCCTGGTCGTTGTGGACCTCCAGCACCACCTTTGGGCGCAACAACTTGACAGCCCCTCCTAATCGGCCGCCTCGTAACACCGCCACTACCACCACCACCGCCACTATTACCGCCACCGCCAGCCCGGCCAGCAGCATTACCGTGGCGTTGCCTACGGCCGAGTTTCCCTTGGGTTTACATGACCAGCAGCAGCAGCAGCAGCAGCAGCTTTCCTCGGCGCCTTCCGGAACCGCGTCCAGTTCCCGACGAGTGGTGCTTCGGGCGCTACTTCGCACCGCCCGAGACGTCGCGCAGGTTTGTGCGGGTGTGTGTGTATCTGGCTTTGTGTATGTGGGTGGGGTTAGGGTCGATGTGGTAATGTGGCGTGTGTGTTTGATAATTGATGTCCGATATGCTGCCCGGGGCGGGGGGGTCGCATCAGAAAGATCAGAGCTGTTTATCACCCGCGCAGACAAAGCCAATACCGCGGGCAGGTCAGAGTTAGGGGAATGTTATGTTAGCTCGCGTGGCTAGGTGGCCGAGAGGAGAGGTGGCGAAGGGGTTTTAAGTTTGGAGGTGGAGAGGATCTCACACCCAAAGGAGCGAAGCGGTTAAGCATCACGTTCCAGGAGTTGTACGTCGGTCGGAGGGACTCAGTGCCGGTGAGAGGGAGGGCTTGCAACCATATCTGGCGTCATGGCATGACACTGGCGACCCGTGGGTCACTGAAGAAGCGCATTTTCACGGGACTCTGGAGTTTTACCCAGTTTATTTCCGCTGAATAATCCTCCTTTTCATCTCCCCCTCCCCCGGCCCTCCCCCCCCTCCGCCTCAGGGCATGTGCCACCTGCACTCCAACGGCATCATTCACGGAGATCTCAAACCGGGAAATGTGCTGCTCAGGGGATGCAGGTCCGACAGGAGGGGTTTCACAGCGCTCGTCAGCGACTTCGGCCTCAGCAAGGTACGACAAAGCCATGTACGGCAAAGGGTACAGCAAAAGACACAGTACCTGGCAATGTATGTAATGGCACTTTTGCCCTTCTACACACTCATTGGCGATTAACGAGCTGCCGTACAGGCCACGAAACGACGTTTCATCGAGGCAACGACGTGTTCTGAATGCTGCCTTCGACATGCGGGGGAACCGGTACACGTGTGTGCCTACAGCATCCTGGCAGCATCCTGGCGTCATTAAATGAAAGGAAGCAGCATAGCTGCAACATGGTAGATCGATGTTCGTCTAATGCAGTCTCCGTGGGGCCCTTCAAACTACGAGAAGAGGTTGCTTCTCTTATTCCAAAACCAAAAGTATGAGCAAGAGCGGGCTGAAGGGAAGGCGGTACGGCACACCTTAGATTCCTTTACGATCCTTTCGCTGTCTGTGGAAATAAACATAAATACACCTAGCTGCTGTACACGTATGTACGGCAACAGGTGACGCGCGGCGAAAAACCGTTGGATCTCAACCACTGGTCAACGGTGACGGTTATGGCGCCGGAGGTCATCAACGGCACGTGGCTCAAGGCCTCAGGTGTTTGGGCGAGAGTGGGGGGAGGAGGGGTGAAGGCCGCGGGCTGCGCGTTATGGTTCTTTCTGCGAGTTGTTTTGTACGCGTGTTGGGATGACGACAATTTTAGCTGGGACGGTGCTGTGTGGAGGAGTGAGGGGAATGCCGGAGGGCGAGGTAGGACGGAGGCGACCGGACACGACGACAAGGGCCTTCGAGGAGGCGCTGAGGAGTTATGAGGAGAGTTGCGGGCTGGGCCCAGCGGCAAATGCTTTTCGGGTTTTAGAGAATTGCTGATAACTAACTCGGACATGATGTAGGTATAGAGCTCCAGAGAAAAACGCCCCGGAGACATTTTCCCGCTACGTCAAGTCACTAGCGACTTGTTGTGGACGAGGCAAGCAAAGAGATCACGAGATCACACAAAATGCGCGCTCCTCACCCCTCCCCCCCCTGTTATGTTTCCCATTTCCTGGCGGCGGAATCGTTTTTTGATTTTTTGGTTTTGGTTGCATGACTCCCACCACAACCACCACCGCGCCCTGAACTGTTATCATCTTCTCGACGTTGCATATAGCTCCATTCCCCCCTTAAATCCCACCCTCTTTAACCTACAAGTCGAAACCGGCCATCTGCACACCTCGCTTTTTCGACCTCTTCTTCCTTCCTCTTCTTTTTGTCCCTCTCAACCTCTTTTCTGTCGTCACGACACAAATGCTCGTCTCCTCTCGTGTCCCCCCCCCATCGTGCTGCAGATGTGTTCTCCTTTGGCATCTTGTTGTGGCAGCTGGTCACGGGCGAGATTATGCCGTACGGCACGTGCACCGTACCGCAAATCTTGGTCGGCGTGTCGCAGGGTTCGGTGAGTTTTAAGGCCCCATTGGTCTCCCTAGGAAGGGGGGGGGGGTTAAGGGGGCTTGAGGTCATGCATTAGACAGGTCGCACTAGCTTCGAAGCAGGCCATGCCCAATCAATGGCGACTCTTAAAGCTTATCCAGCAGCAGAACCTTTTGTCAAGCGGTATATGAGCGCACATGCCCCGACTCCTTGGCCATTGCCCGTTAACCATGGATGACGGTTTCTCCGTCATGGGCCTTCATTGTGCCCCCGGCTCCCCGTGCTGCTGCGGCTGCTGCTGCTGCTGCTGCTGCGGCGGCGGCGGCGGCGGCGGCGGCGGCGGTCCTTCATCTCTCCAGCCTAAACCTCCTTCCTTTCGTCCGCTACCCTGCCCAAATGCCTCCCCCCCCACACACACATACGTCCGCTTCCCCCTCCTTTCTCCCCCCGCTTTTCCCCCTTTTTTCCCCTCCCCAGCTGAAACCCGAGTGGCCCTCCTCCGCCCACCCCGCACTTGTACGACTTGGGCGGGCATGTCTGTCTACAAGCCCGGAGAAGAGACCCAAATTTGAGGCGATTGTCAAGGTAGGTTTGTGGATGAATGGATGAATGGACGGATGGATGACTGTCCTAGGGTGGTTCACAAGGTTGAATATTGATTTAGGTTCCGGTTGGGGTTCAATCCGTCCAACGAAGCTTTTGCTACCGGACCCCAACAGCGCGCCACAGCTCCCGTACTTCCCTTCCTCGCTGCTCGGTTTATAAGTGTGCTCACTACATTCCAAACTCCAAACTCCAAACTCAAGAAGAACTCAAGAAGGACTCCAACAACCCTCAAACCACTTCATCGGGCATCGGGCTGCAACTTAGTCGCCCTTTCCGGGGCAACCCAGAATGCCGCCTCCACGTTGATTAAGGGGCTGCACGGTTCTGTAGCCACTAATACCGCTCGCAACGCGGTGAACAGTTGCAACCAAGAATTGTGGCTTGCGCCAAAGCCCGAATGCCACGTGGATCCCAATAAAGCGAGAACGAACTGCCCTGGGTGTTTATCACGTAATGCGCATCTGTTTGCGAAGATGCTGACCAAGATTGAAAAAGACGTACGGAGTCAGCTGCTGCAGCAGTCACCCGCGCCGAGGAAAGCGCCGGCGGCGCTTTCCTCATCATCATCGTCATCAGCGGCGGTGGCGGCGGCGGCGGGTATGGGGACAAGGGCGGTGGCGGCGGCAGCGGCGGCGGGACCGTAGTAGCTGCGCAGGAGGCGGCATCCTGCTTGGGGCTGCGGTGTAGGGAGCTTTGGGGGGGGGGTATGCCGGTGCCGCCCCCGCCCCTGCCACCGGCCCGCCAAGTCAACTGCCGGCGGCGGTGACGGCAGCGCCTGGTGGCAGCGACGGAGCCATACCGGTGCGCCCCTCGTGAGCCCTTTGGCGCCGGACTGGTATCGGACTGGTTCAGACACCCGCACTCTTCACCCGCCGCGGTGTTCTGCATCTGGCCTTCCAGGCATTTGCCCGAGCTGATGCTGATGCTGATGCCGCCGCCATTGCTACTCTGGAGCGGCTGCTGCTTCAGTTTGCTGCTGGGTTTAGAGGTTTGCGTTTTTTTCTCACGCGCCGCTCAATCCTGACGTACAGACAAGCGAGCTATATATTTTTCAGTCCGTCGGGGGTTTAGAGCTGCTGTGATGCCACAACGGAGAGGAGTCGCGAGGGAGGCGGCTGTTGGCAGTCGAGGAGGAAATCGCGTCAGGGACGAGATCTGCAAGTGTACATATTTCGTTGCACTGCTAAATGTGATTGGAAGCCGATGAATTGATTGAGTGGGATGTGTTTCTGTCTGTGTGTCTGTCTGTGTGTTCTGCATGTCTGTAGATGTGTCTGTCTGTGTGTGTGTCTGTCTATCTGTCTGTGCGTAGTTCAAATGTTCTTTGCATAATTCATTATGCAAAATAATGAGCAGCCTCAATGGAGATAGCACACGGTGGCCTGCGTGCTCTGGACGTCCCTCGCCAACCCGTGCGCACAGAGGCGCAGAGGCGCACAGAGGCGCAGAGGCGCTAGACGAAGTCTAATAATTAATTATAAAACCCAATTTCTACTCTTTACAGTTTTGCATGCCGAGCATGATGCCTTGCTGGCATATAAACGTAGTCATGATCGATCAATCGATCAATCGATCATGACCTGCTATCATGGATTAAGCGCCGTACCCAACCAATCGGCGATGTTGTTAATTGCTATCGGATTCGTGCGTTTCCAGCGTTTCCTAGCATATAGCGGACGTAGCAGGTGTGGTTGCGCGCGCAAGTTGCTAGTGGCGACATCGGTTTAATTTAACAACACTTTCAAATAAGATGACAGCGGCAGCAAGATGTATAGCTTTAGAGGTTGAGCTTGCGCCTTACTAAATCTGTTGGCTGCCATACGGGGCGATGAAGAAGATAACGAAAAAGACCTTTTTTCAGAACAAAGAGGGTGGGGGAAAGAATGGGGGAATGGGCTTGCCTGTCTGTCGATCTGTATGTTTGTTGCCTGTCTGTCGATCTGTCTGTTTGTCTATCTGTCTGTCGATCTGTCTGTTTGTTCTTTTTTATCCCCTTGGGACATTTCATCTGCGCAGTTGGGTAGCAGCTGGGTCGCAGCTGGGTAGCAGCTGGCTACTGGCTACTGGCAGCAGGCTGCTTTGCTTTTGGGGGAAGCGCATCATTCGGCGCTGCAGGGCGGTTGTTTCCATCGATTAGCGGTTGCTGTTGGCGAGATGGCGGAATGGTGGCGGGATGGTGGGATGGGCCGCGAGGCAGAAGAGTGCGCGCTTCGGCGTTCTCTCATGTTCTTTGTTCGGCATGGAGGTGTAGCCAGGCACTGTATCATTTCTGTATGTCCGTACGTATGTATGTATGCGCATCTCTGGCTTTCAAGATTTTGGGACTTGATGAATTTATGAATTGGTTGTGTTTTGTTTGGTAATGGTGGTGATGACAATCGTGCGTGCATGTTGGTGTTTGGAAGAGGGCTTAAAAAACACAAATCTACTGCTGCTGCTGCTGCTGCTGCTGCTGCTGCTGCAGACGTGTCCATGAGTGTTCCGAACCTGTTGGTTTTGTCGTGTGAAGAAGATGAACTACTTGATGCGTTCATCCATCCCGCGTTCATCACAATCCGGTTTAGCACAGCCTAAATGAAACGCACATACATATTCATATACAATGGCAAAAACTTAAGCTTAAAAACCCTTAGGAGTGCTCTGGGACTGGGAAATGTGCCGACCGGTAATAAGCAAGGGTGCCGTACACCTGGCTGCGTGCGTTGGGGTGTATCTCGAGAAAGCAAATGCTGAGGGGTTTTACATGCGCCGCTCTAAGTGCCTTGCTAAGGGATGATGATGATGACGATGATGATGATGTGTTCGTCGCTTTGTTTGATGGTTTGGTTGGTTGGGATGTTGCCTGTTTCGGTTTGTAAAAGGAGCTGATGGAAACTCACATGCGCCGATGAAGGGGGCATTCTTGATAAGCCAGGGGCGGGCCGAGGTCGGTCCCTTACAAAACGATTCTAAAATCATCTGTCCGGAAATATACTTTGCGGAGTGTGGGGCCCCTGTGGATAGAAACCCGCAACCATGAGGGGCAGGAGGGCCCCAACTGAGACACAGGCAAGGTCTGCGGAGTGGTGGAGGCTGAGTTTGAGGGTTGTGGGAAGTGAGGAGTGAGGCCGAGGAGAAGTGGTTGGGCGAGATAGGAAGTGGCGAGGTGGGGAGGAAGCGGCTGCGGCGGCGCGTTTGGCTAGAGCTGGAACTGGTATATAGATGGTGCTGCTGGGTAGCAGCAGTTATGTGATTGTGGTGGCGCGTGTGTGTTTTGCATGAGGCTGGAATATCGCTTACATGCATGCATGCGCACGTGCGTGGCGTGTGTATGTGTGCTGTGTACGTAACGGCGCAGCGGAGATCACTACGGACAAACCTGGGCAAGAACTTCACTTTTTTGTAAAATGAAGTTGCGTGTACGAGTTAAGGACGCCACGGTAGCCAAGAGGTGGGAAATGTTTCTTCCTGTTTATATCCGGGGCGCGATAAGGTGATTAATGAATAATCGACGTGTCGTTCCTTTCAGGTTGTGAGAAAAATATACGAAATGATTTTGTGCAATGTATGTACTTTCTCAAATTATCGTAGCGCTACAGGTCGTGCTGACAGCAGTGGACGTTTTCGCGGCTGTTTTATTTATGCGCCGCGTGTTGCTGTACATTGCCGGTGTGTCTTTTTCCCCTCCACCTCACCTGCATTGTTGATTCCTGCACCAGTGGACCTGTATATTGTGTAAATGCAGTGTCTTGCATAAAACTCTACATCAACGGATTGAGCATGAACTGCCCCCCACAACCCCGCGCCGCATACACCGGCATACTACAGGGATAACAGAGAAGTCAAGAGGTACCGAGTTCAGCAACCCCCTACCACCACGCCGTACCCCTACCCGTACCACGGGCTCGGCCAGGGGCCACGGACCTCCTCTTCCCCTGTCAGCCAGTGAGCCGCCCTGGGTGGAGACTTGGGGTTTACACACCGCCAGCGATTGGGATTCAGGATACACCTGGCCACACCTGCCACTAGTGATAAAAACAGTAAAGTGGTAATGTTGTGTGTACATTACGATCATGCATGCAAATGCATGCAATACAAATCAATCGATTGATTCACACAACGTCGTGCGTTGTGTGAGGGACCGTTCCCGGAAAGAGCAAAAGCTCCAAGATCGAATGCACTGGAAGGGGGAAATGGGAAGAGAGTGGGTCGATACAAAAATACATAAAACCAAACAAGACAGGATGAACCTCCACTACCGCCAACTACTGCCTCTTTGCAAACCTGGCACCATAAAAGCATGCATCTGCACACCACCACCAGCACCACCGGAGCACTATCCGCACCACCAAAAAAAGGGAAGCTCAGCCCCTGCCGTTCCCGCTTACATGATAAGTTTCAACAAACTGCCATCGTCATCATTTACATTCAAAATGCGGCCATGCTTTCATCCGCGCACAGCCATTCCCACCTTCACCTCAAGCATCAGTACCCTTACACCCTTCAGCTATGCTAGCTTATTTGGCAGCGGCAGGACCGCGCGCCGCAAACTCCTCGCCCTTCTTGATCGAGCCCAAAAGCTCGGCCTTCATCGCCTCAAAGTTCTCCTGCTCCATAGCGTCCACGGCACCCAGAGGGAAAATCTCCTCCACACCACCGCGGCCCAGTCGCAGGGGCGATGAGAAGTACGGCAGGCCGGGTACGGCAGACGAGCGCACGTAAGCGTACTCGTTTACGGGGCCCTCTCCCGACATGGCCCTCAAACACGAGTCCGCAAAGCGGGCGGCGGCGTACGCCATCGACAAGGTTGCCGAGCCGGCTCCGGCTTTAGCCTGCAGCAGTCAGGTGACGGGGGGGGGCCGGAGAGGTGAATGAGGACGCTCACAACGGGGCTGCAGAGAAGGGACAAGGGAGTTCGAGGGGGGGTTAAGACACCGTTCAACTTCTTCCTGTTCCTCTTCCCCCGCCCCCCCACGCGGGACGCACCTGCACCACCTCAGTGCCAGCGTCCTGGATGCGGACCATCAGGGCCTTACGTTGCTCCGCAGTCATCGAGGCAGGCAGCGCCGGCCGAGCCTAAATCAGCCACAATGGCAATGAGGGGATGAGCGGACGAGAAGATCAGCGCATGAGGGGCCACAACGCGGGAGAGTCAGGTCCGGTAACTGGAGTACGCCGAGTTCGTGGGGTTGGGCGGGGGGGGGGCGTGCACATAGCCCCCTGTGCTTCAGGGGGGGGGCAAGTGTAGCGGCTCACGACTGGCCACCCATGCACACAAGCCACTACCCAAACTGACAGGCCCCCCCCCGCCATACCCAGGCAGGCAGGCAAGGACAACGCGACACGCCGTACTGGCTTCCGTTGCATACGCAGATACGGCACACGTACACGATTCAAAGGCTCTCGGAGGGAGGCCACGAGACCTCCCTTTTGACTCGCAACAACAAGGCTCAAGGCATGTACAGAAAAACATGAACATACACACCCCTCTACCTGCGACAAAAGCGGTAGGATGGTGATGCCGGCGTGGCCGCCCACCACGGGCACGGACACGTCCCGCGGGTCAGCTCCCACGATTTCGGCGATGAAGGCCTCCGCGCGAACCACATCCAGAGTGGTGACCCCGAACAGCCGGGCAGGGTTCAGCACACCTGCGGCAAGGTGGGACGCCATGATGTGTGTGATGCATGGGCACAAGCATGCGGGAAAAACGTCAATACACGTACGTACATACATACATACACACATGCACATACATACACATGCACACACATTACATTACATTACCTTACATACGCACACACGTACCTGCCCGCTGGAGCACCTCCGCCGCAATGGGCACCGTCGAGTTGACGGGGTTGGAAATGATGGCCACCCAGGCGGTAGGGCAGTGGGCGGCCACCGCCTCAGCGAGGGTGCGGACAATACCCGCATTGATGTTGAACAGGTCGTCCCGCGTCATACCCGGCTTGCGGGGAACACCTGAGGGTGCCAGTGGGGGATGGGAGGAGGGAGAGAGAGCGGGAGGGGGGTGGGGAAGGGTGAGTTGCCTTGCATTGGGTTTGGCGGGTCGCAAGGGGGGGAGGCGGCACAGGCGGGGACGCTTTTCCGCAAAGAGAGGGTGGCCACCACAAAAAGCGCCGCACACAGGGGCTGTTGGGGGAAAATGCTGGAAGCATGTGGAAGGGGTTGTTCGGGGGCCCTTTCCTCCCCCCGAGGGAAATAGAAGCAAGACAAAATGTCAAAAAGGATTGATTCCAAGACTAACGCAAGGCGACGAGGTCCGCATAGTTGTACGCACACACAGTTACACCCACATCACATCACATCACGAACCGCAGCAACCCAACCGAAGCGCGTTCGCTTCTCACTCTCAAAGCAACCATACAACCCCTACACACACATTTTTCATCCACATACATACAAACATATACCATTTACATGCACCCATATACAGGCACGCAGCAACAACACCGGCACACCTACACACAACAAACATCTCACCGGCCGGGATGATCACCAGATGGCAACCCGCCAGCGCTGCCGGCAGCTGGTCCGGTCCCAAATAGCCCTTTACACGAGCGGCGGTGCTCATATGAGACACGTCAGCGGCGACGCCGGGGGTGTTCGCCACATCGTACAAGCTCAGCTCGGAAATGTACGGCGACATCTTGAGGAGCATGGACAACGGCTGGCCAATACCGCCGGCAGCACCGAGTACGGCGACCTTGAACTGATGTATGTACGCAAGGACGGGGAAGAAAGATGAAGTGGATTGGTAAGAGGGAGATTTATTGGAGGGGGGAGAAAGTTGAAGTGGTTGGCGTGTGGTGAGAGATTGAGTGGTATCGCTAAAACGGGGGACACGTTGCGACATTTTCAGGGGAGAAACGGCGGGGGAGCGGGAAATGGTGTTTGTATCTTATGAAGAAACGCGTCCGAGGGGCGCAAGCTTCCGCCACGGCCAAAAACGGCCCATCGGCACACCCGCCAGGTAATGACAAAAACCTGAAACCGTGGACATGGTGCAATTATCCCGCATATTAGAGCTGGTTGCGGAGGCTAAATTGGTCTTGACGACAGCCATGGCCGGATCCATTCCTCAAAGGGTCGCAAGAGCAACCCTGCGCGCCATGTCATACCTTAAATAGCTTTGGTGGGTCAAGGTGGGAAGCAATTTTTTGAATGCGGTTGAGGGCGGCCATCTTTCAGAGTATCGGTGCTTGGTTGCACACGAAGCGACCGATGCGAAACTTAGTTAATCAGCAGGAACACACTATTTCCTTCACAGTCACAAGTGCACAATTACAGATAAGCCTTGGTGAGTTATAAAACGTGTCGGTGAAAACCGTCAAGGTGGCAGTTACATGACGGAAGCGCCAGTTTCGGAGCAGTCCGGTGAGCTTAACGGACTTGCCGTTGCTGGCCTGGTATGTTGGGTTCCTCAAAGGTTACATAATAACATAGCATGGGCTATATCGACTTACGGTTGGGTGGCCTTGTTCAGAGCCCATAGTTAGTGTCCTGTTGCACCGCGCACCTTGGTCTCTTGCTTCGCAATGGTAACCTGTTCTTTATGGAGATATTTAGTGCGCAAACGTAGCAAGCGTTTGGGCACACATGCTATACCTGTCCGAAGTAGTCTGGACACGATCAGGGCAAACTTCAGTTCGTTGCGCAGCAACGGGTGGTCCCTTGGTTATCTGTATCAACAACTTACTACCTGCGAGAAGACGCCGAATATCCGTGTAGTATGTGAAGTGGGAAACGTCGTTAAGGGACGGCGGCTGAAGCATCTCTTGCTACTATGTGTTCGAACCTTTTATGCTCACCGGCACTTACTTGTGGGACTGACTCCACAGAAACATTATGCATGAATGAGCTCTTACAAAGGGTGAGATGATGGCTGGCTAGCCTTTCCTAACAAATGGATTCACTGTTTAAACATGGATTGCAGCACAATGCAGGCTAGGACTTCAGCTCTAGGATGGGAACGAGCCCACCTCACATCACTCCAATCCCTGATAACAAAATCCAACCGATGCTTATTAGGAGACCCTTTAAATTCTGATTCTTTCGTATCTCAGCGAAAGCTGACAGCCGCTAGAAGCGGCTGAGACCAATGAACCAATCAAACCGAATCCGGCCCAAGTCGCGCTCATGCCGTAAACGAAACAAGTTATAGATGACCTTCGCAAGACCACGCTGATCCTCGACCTGCATGGTATCAAAGATGTTCATGCTGGTGGGCACATCTAGGTCCCAAAGCTTCCGTCGTGCCTGCGTCAGCGCCGGGCACTCCGCTGCGTGCTTTTCCATGTTCGATGGCTCCGCTGATGCCACACGCGCCGCAAACGCGATGCTCCCGAGACCTGTTTCTCGCGCGATTAACCGCCAAATCAAGAACACATAACCGAAAACGAAGTAAGGCACGGTGGTGCGCCAGCGGGATATAACCCCATCCAGTACTTTTGGCGACACATTTTAACGCCAGGCTTCCTGCCATCTGAAATGAAGGCCCCTGTCACTTCCCCAATCGTCATTGACACTGTCCTCAGGGTGTCCAATTCTACTTTGACCGCCAGAGCCTCATACAAAGTAATGAGCAAAGGGCTCTGCACAGCGCCGCTTGCAGATAAGATCAAGGATCACCCAATAAGCTCGGCTTGATAACATCCCTATCTGGCTGTGTGCATGTGTTTTGCGTGCATGTGTTTTGCGCCGCGTCTTGCACCGGGGGGTTAGGGATCACCCCCAATGATTAAGGTCTGGATTTGCCCATCAGGCCGCCGCATGCCGTGTGTCAAACACGGCAAGAGAGCTCTTGCATTGCCTTGTCATGCCTTCGCCTTTTCCCTCAGTGTCTACAGATAGGTGTCTCTCTCACCCTAGGGGGTTTTCGTGTTACAGATCCTGATAAAAAGTAAAGCTAAAACTCAGCCGCCTTTTAGGAGAGCTCATGCAAGCAAGGTTCGCGGACTGTACAAGCTGCACAACTCCGGCCCCCAGCTGGGCTGCAGGGCCGCCACCCAACCAATGTCTCACAGGGCATAGTACGCATTTCGGCGCGCCCATCAAAGAGCATCAGCCGTAGGGCCAGTTGAAGCCTTCGCAAGTAAAAAATGCAAAATTTACTCGAACATCGTACACCGCAACCTCTGTGCAACAACAGGAACAAGCACGGGCTCAAAGCTTGACACCCTCCGTCCTTGGCTGCCAAACAAACGTTATCCGCTTAATTTTATCAGCGGGAACATCGCAGACGTAGGTTGCCAAGCAATCGGCGACACCACCATTCGGCAACCCAGTGATGATCTCACGGTCAACAACAACATTTCCAAGAACCAAACGACCTAGAAGCTCGCAGTGCACCGGGGACTTAAAGCGCTCGACATATCGCGGCCTTAGCTCCTCCTTGTTCGACGCGATTACATTCCCAGTTATGCCATCCAAGACGACGACGTCATCAGTGAATAGTTCCATAAAGGGATTCACTTGCCTAGCGTTGTAAAGTTCCAGCTGCCTCTGGACGATGGCAGCCGCTTCTTGTGCCATCGCCGCTTTGGTCGCAACGCCGCGATGCTGCAGCGCTAAAGGTTGCCTAGCCGGCGTCAAAGAGACACTCAGAGATATGCGGTGGCCAAATTTTACGCCCACCGCGGACTTTGTGCTAAGCGAACCTAAGCACCTGAACCCCATAGGAAAGGGAGTATCAAATTGGTACGTAGTTATCCACTATGGTTGTCGCACCGTTTCTGTGCGACTGGTTATAAAATTCTTCATTACGTAAGGACGTTAGGCCCATTGGCCGCTCGTCCGAATAGAGATGCGATTGTTACAGTGGACCCCGAACGGGTCGAGTGCAGCGCCCATAGGAACGCCTCCCGCACAACACTGTGGGCCTTATTCAAAAAGAACTCGGCCAGGCCGTACTAACTTCACTGGACACACGGCCTCAGTTAGTACGCTTAAACAAAAAATTGAGGCTCCGACGTGCGCCCTCAAACTTCGTCATTGTATGTTGTTACAGGGTGGTTAACTTCGCCAGCGGCCCCCTTTCCCGGGGCAGTCCCTGCTCTCCCCTGCTAGAGGGGCACCCTAATCCGTCACCCCATCCGACTTCAGAATGTATTCGTTGGGTTCGGCAACTCACCACCAGCATCCAACCAAATCTAGCGGATCAACGGCGCATCAACTTAGTTCCTGGTCAGCTCGCAAGTTGATATTATCACGTCCTACACCGTCCATATGATGGGGGGCCACCTCCCATTTCATCACTCCTCAAACACCCGAGGAGCTGGCAGGCGGATTTGAACCCGGGTCGACTGGATCGACTGGGAGCAGAAGTCAGGCCTTAACTTCTGCCAGCCGCCTGCCATTGTATATCGGTAAACGGCAAGCAACCATGTCTGCGTCATTGACATATAAGAAAGGGTGATTGTGAGGTACATGATCCCAATGTTTTGGCAAGTAATCCCGTGCCGCAAAAGCAGTTAAACGGGCCCAAAAGTCAGAGATAACCTCGTATGTAATGCGGTTAAGCGATGGCGTTGATATAGGCATGTTGGTCTGGAGACCTTCCTTAAACAACAAACGGCGACCGAGATTGAGTGAGCTGATGGCCGCGAGGCATACAACCTCCCATACACACGAACAAATCCAGGTTGGTGGAATGCCCAACCACAGGTTAGCCCGGTTGAAAAGGTCAGGGAACTCAAGTTCGTTTTGCAGAGCTTCACGAAGAGCCAACGCGACAGTACAATCCCAGAAATGATGCCGACGATCCCCACAAAGCATGCGTACACCACAGGGGCACATAGCAGCCGGGATACCTCTTTGACGTTGCGCCCTATGCATAGGAAAGGCAGGGAAACCATCAAGAGCCAGCCTCCAAAAGGCTTCTTTATGCTCGTTATCCCACCGAAGTCTCCACATGCGCGACAAAGTACGACGGAAGTCCAACAAAGTATTGGCCAAGTTCTCCGGCGATAAGACGATATCAACAGCATCCAAAATAAAATCTTCATGTTTGATATCAAGCGTTCGTAAAGAAGGTGCCATTAGTAAAGTCGTCGCAAATTTAACCGTTACTTGAGAGAAATGCAGTAACACTTGACCAAATCTCCATCCCAAGCTTTTGACAATTCTTTTCCAGGCCTCTTGCGGAGGCGGTATTTCATGGTTTCTGTCATTAATAGCTACTATCGCCGCTATGGTCCATTGCGGGGGTAGGCGGTCGATAAGTTGCGATATACGCGTTATGGCAGTCGCCCCCGACTGACACGATGCCGGCAGGGGATGCCTCGGCGTAAGCCCTAATATGCCATGTACCACGATAGTACGAAACAGATTCGTACAATGAAAGTGTTGCGCCTCAGTAAGGCCTTGTACACCAACCATGCGCACCAAATTCCACGTAGACGACATAGCTGTGTGGCATCGTACGGCCATACCTACGGTATCTAACCCACGCAAATTTCTAAGATCACCAAAATGCTCCGAATAGAGCCTTCTCTAACTAACGCCAAAGGTGTACGATAGGGCCTTATGGCACTAGCGTCCAACTCAGTTAAAACACCGATCGTTACCTAAAAACGGTATTCTTCAACAGCACCAAATTGTAGACTTCTTACTCCTTGAGTTAGTTAGCATACGACGCAGTACCCTATAGGACCGAGGCATCGTTACAGTTTGGTACCGATACCTCAAAATTCTGTGACCTCAAACGGTCTCCGCTTCCTGAAAACCTTCAGCAATGTCTGCCTTGGTCCGACACTCGAATGGCATGGACAGCGGTACTCGACACATGCGTCTTGAAGGTCCACGTAAGCTGCTTCTTCATTTAATCGGACCATACGTAATCAAGGAAAAAATTAACTCATCGCTTATCGCTTGCCTACTGGAACGCGTATCCGTGACGTATCTCTGTTACGGCCTTACTATGAGAGTGACCGTGCTCCAAAACCTCCGCAGCCTTAGCGCTTTGCCGTACTTACATCAGGGTCTTTCGATCCCACCACACTTGTGGAGAAGTCTAAATAGGCTCGAGCATTACAAGTAGCGACCAAAGTGAAAGGATCTAACATGTTGGCCGAGTAAGCTCTATATCGATATCGAACACGAATGTATTCGATAGGAGGGTCTGAACAGCGGGAAGATGAGGCTGGGGTCCTGGCGCAAGCTACCAGCGCAAAGGCATTTAAATATCGCGACAAGGGGGTCCTTTTATATCTAAGTGTCAGTCCCTCAGTATCTAAGTGAAGTTGAAGGGGGCCTCTGGCCAGCTGGATGAGAAAAG